GGAAATGTAGCCCTCTTTTTCCCTTTCACTTTTAGAGTTAGATGATGCTGGGGGGAGGGATGTGAATGAGAGTCCAGCTGGACACAACAACACTAAACTTAGCATGAGAATCAAGGTCATTGAGCCCAGAACTGATAAAGAATTGGCAGGCTGGAGAACCGGAGAGGAAGCCCACCTGCTTCAAGCTAATTGGGGAATGGGATTTATAACTGTTAATTGGAGGAGGGAATTGTGCTTTGATACTATGTGCTCAGGGGAGGGGAATTCAGTTTTTGGCTTCGATTATGCAGTGCTGATATTATGCTACTCAAATAAAAGATTCTTTAAGGTAAACAATGCCTCGAAGTTCTTCTGAAGGGTTTCATCTATCGGAACCATGACAGCTATTTTTTAAAAGATGAAGTTAAGCCACGATCCCATAAAAAGCAACTGCCACAACCATAAATAAGAAATGCAGGGCTGTTTTATTGTTGAAGTTCAGTGAAAGAGCAAATGGTACCGTACAGTACAAAGGTCAGTAGCAGAAAATAACCATTATTTAAACATGGGATGGTTATATTTGTAAGACCACTTCTTTTTGATAAACTGGGAAGAGAAAACACCCTATCCCTTGCTTTGTTTTCCTTAAAACACAAACTATTAACAGGGAGATTGCAGCACTCGTGATTATTTCATTTTATTCAATGATGGACACTTCAGATGACTGACAATATGAGGTCTCCGTTGTTTCTTTAAATTACGCGTTTTTGTATTTCTGCCACAAAAATAGAATGAGAGCCAAGCTGTTACATTAAGCGAGTACAGGAATTTGCCAGCATACAGATGTTTTTTTGGGAAACAAAGATTGCTTCGCTACTTGTAATTGCCATCTTTTTTCCCCCCCAGAAGACCCAGGCAAGGTTCATACCAGATTGTTACATGTCTGTGGAGATTCTCAATCATCCAGGTCATGGTTGTCCCAAAGGTGCTTTTTTCAAAAGGCAACCGGACTTTCTTTTCCTTTGAAAACATTTTGCTTCTCATCCAAGAAACTTCTTCAGTTCTGAAGATGTATGCCATGTAGACTGGGGTGCAGTGTAGACCGGGTGCAATGTAGACTGGGGTGCAATGTAGATTGGGTGCAATGTAGACTGGGTACAATGTAGACTGGGTGCAATGTAGACTGAGTGCAATGTAGATTGGGTGCAATGTAGACGGGTGCAATGTAGACTGGGTGCAATGTAGACTGGGTGCAGTGTAGATTGAGTGCAATGTATACTGGGTGCAGTGTAGACTGTGTGCAATGTAGACTAGGGTGCAATGTAGACTGGGTGCAATGTAGATTGGGTGCAATGTAGACTGGGGTGCAATGTAGACTGGGGTGCAATGTAGACTGGGTGCAATGTAGACGGGTGCAATGGAGACTGGGTGCAATGTAGATTGGGTGCAATGTAGATTGGGTGCAATGTAGACTGGGGCACAATGTAGACTGGGGCACAATGTAGACTGGGACACAATGTAGACTGGGGCGCAATGTAAACTGGGTGCAATGTAGACTGGGTGAAATGTAGACTGGGGTGCAATGGAGACTGGGGTACAATGGAGACTGGGGTACAATGGAGACTGGGGTACAATGGAGACTGGTCACCTCGGGCAACGTGAATTAGTTACAACTAAATAGTCTGCACACTCTGGCTGCTGGACCTCATAAGGATTTTCCAGCAAGAAGTAGCAGCATGAATACTGAAAAATAAAATAGCTGAAATGACACATTATGGAATATGAAGGAAGTCATTGTGTCCTTACAGAGGATCCCAGTTGTGAATGCAAGTATCGCTTATGAAGTGTTTCTGTCTTCCCCAATGCTTATATCAGTTCTATAGTGGAATAGGTGAGTATGTCCATGGGACTATAATGCTTGAACAACGGTAATTATTAAAGCTTTGGTAGGTTAATAGCGACTCCCCTACACATCACGTATTCTCTTGAACGTTTCATTACTAAGATGCCAAACTTCAATATGTAATACAGGAAGGTCCACTGAGCAGCATGATGAGAAGAAGCAGCAGGTGAGCGGGAAGTTGTAGAACATCTCCAGAACTTTGAGCAAATAGCATCGGATCATGTAGCATCCAACAGCCCGAAACACAGGTGGCCTTAGTGATCCATGCACTCCATCATTACAAACGGCCATGTGAGCATGCCTCACAATTCATTGCAGTATGTACATCCTACTTTGGAATAATTACACAATTATAAGTAGTCCTCAACTTACAACAGTTCACTTAGTGTCTGTTCAAAGTTACAACGGCACTAAAAAGGGGGGACTTATGATCATTTTTCACATTTACGACCGTTGCAGCGTCCCCATGGTCACGTGCTCAAAATTCAGATGCTTGGCAACTGACTCATATATTTATGATGGTTGCAATGTCCCGGAATCATGTGATCCCTTTTTGTGACTTTCTGATAACCAAAGTCAAAGGGGAAGCCAGATTCACTTAACAACTGTGTTATTAACTTAACAACTGCAGTGACAAGAAAGGTTGTAAAATGAGGCAAAACTCACTTAAGAAAGGTCTCGCTTCGCAACAGAAATTTCGGGCTGAATTGCAATCATAAGTCGAGGTCTACCTGTAATAATAACTTGTTTCCCATGTTTTTTTGCTTTGTTTTGGTGGTTTAGGTCTTAAATATAACCCTCCATTCTATGGAGGATCCAGAATATTGTCCCCCTGCCCCTGTGCTCGCTGTGAGATCAGTTGTAGCAGAAGCAATTATCACTAATTAACAGTAACTAGATTCCTTCTCCTCTAAGCTAGTGTTAAAACTGTGTGTGTGGGGGGAAATACCCTCTCTTTATAGCAGACATCTGGATGCTTGTTTGTTAATTAAGCAATTAACTCATTCATTCTATACTCCATCTCTCCAGTCTAGGGAACATTCCCAGCTCCCTTCCCCTAAGCAATCCCTATTTTAGGCATCGTATGTATTACATCTCCGTCTGAGAGTCAGATCAAGAAATGAAGCCCTGGTGCAGAAAAATGAGACAAATACAGATTAGTCTTTCAACTTGCAACAGTTCATTTCAGTGACCGTTCAAAGTTACAACGGCACTGAAAAAAAGTGACCGAGGACCATTTTTTTCACACTGACGACTGTTGTGGCCTCCCCACGGTCATGTGATCAGACACTTGGCAACTGACTGGTACTTACAACAGTTGCAGTGTCCTGGGGACATGTGATCCCCTTTTGCGACCTTCTGACAAGCAAAGTCAATGAGGAAAGCCAGGTTCGCTTTACAACCGTGTTACTAAACTTAACAATTTCAGTGATTCATTTAACATCTTAATAACTGACTCATAGTTACAACGGTTGCAGTATCCCAGAGTCAGGTGATCCCCTTTTGCGACCTTCAGACAAGCAAAGGCATTGGGGAAGCCAGATTCACTTAACAACTGTGTTGCTCACTTAACAACGGCAGTGATTTGCTTAATGGCAGTGGCAAGGAAGGTCGTAAAACGGGGCAAAACCCACTTAACAAATGTCTCATTTAGCATTGGGCTCAACTGTGGTTGTAAATCGAGAACTACCTATAATGTAAATCCAGGTGTTTGTTTTTTTCCAAACTAGATCCATAATGACATTGTGGCTTTACCAAAGCATTTCTCCTTCTGGAAAAAAAAATGAGGAGGGGAAGGGGATCCACGCTTAATTCCCTACATAGGATAGGAAGTTGGAATGCAGCCTGATTTCCAAAAATACAATAACAACCTCATTTCCTGAGTATTGCATGCCCTTTACTAAAGTTTACATTCGTCTCTGTGTAAAGACGTGTCGTGCCTTTCCTGCACCCAAAACCCAATAAATATGGGTAGTCCTCGACTTGAGTGGCTGTTCAAAGTTACAAGGGCACTGAAAAAAGCGACTGATGGCCGTTTTTCACACTTATGACCGTTGCAGCAACACCCCCCCCCCATGGTCATGCGATCAAAATTCAGACACTTGGCAACTGACTCATATTTATGACGGTTGCAGCGTTCCAGGGTGATGTGATCCTTTTGCAACCTTTTGACCAGCAAAATCAACGGGGGAGCCAGAATTCACTTAACGACCAAGTCCCTAATTTAACAACTGTTGTGATTCACTTAATATCTGCGGCAAGAAAGGTCGTAAAATGGGGCAAAATTCACTTAAGAAATGTCTCGCTTAAGAAATGTTGGGCTCAACTGTGGTTGTAAGCCGAGGACTCCCTCTACATAAAACCACGACCCTCTTCTTTCCTAGAAAAATAAAATCCTGCTAATTCTTCACCTCCTCCCTATAATTTCAAGATAACCAGGATAAGTGATCTTAATCTCCTTGCTGATGGCACTTTGAAACCAAAAAAACCGAATGAGTACGGTAAAAGAGGCATTCAAGCTTGGCCGACATTGACTCCATGGATGAAAAAGCTTCCTGGAGAACATCAACAGGCAACTTCTATGCTGGATTGACATGACAAAACATGGAGATATAACTCACAAAAGCCAGAGGCCAAGGCAGGAACATCACCTCAACGTTAACCATGGACATCTATTCATTCCAATGGACAGCAATCAGCTAGACATGTTCATGCGGTGATGAAGTTGGAGGCCATGTCTGAAAGCAGGACAGACCCCAGTTCTGGTTCCTGTCTTTTTCCTTTCCTTCTTGGGAGTACCAAAGCCTTAATAGGTAGTCTCTCGGGTGACCTGGCTAGAAAAAGTATGGTTACTAGAGATGCTGTTGGATTTTCTGTTGAACTTGGTTCTCTTCTTCTTCTTTCTCCACGGCAGGCATACGGAAATGAAGGTTGAAAAGAAGATCTGACGGAAGTTGGTGGAGACCAAGTTGTAGAGGACCGGGTTAATCGCTGAACTAACATAGAAGAGGATGTTTGTCAGCATGTAGAAATAGTGGTAGAAGTCATAAAGGAAGCTGGGAGGAAACAAAAAGAGGAAGATGTTCTCAGTGGAGTAGAATTCAACAATTGTACAAGTGGCTTGCCCTTACGGTAAACACAGCCCAATTCCAAGAACCACCAAGAACACTCTAGCACTGATCAAGTTGCCTAGTTGGGTAATGAAACGTCTGCAAGAAAACAAACAAGCTTAGAGAGCACCAAGGACCCCACAATCCTCCTCCTCTCCCTCTCCTTCTCTCCACTCTCTTCTAGACCTGATTATATCACCTAGTTGGGTAATGAAACGTCTGCAAGAAAACCCCAAGTTCAGGGAGTACCAAGGACTCCATAATCCTCCTCCTCCTGCTCCTCCTCTTTACACAAACCCCACTCCCTTCCAGTCTGATGATGTCTCCTAGTTGGGTAATGAAACATCTGTAAGAAAACCCCCAACCTCAGAAAGCAGCAAGGACCCCACAATCCTCCTCCTCCTCCT